CAGCGTGCGAAGAACCGTCAGGGACGTGCGCACTTCGGATCGAGCAAGTATCCGCAGGAGGCCGCCAGTTCTGACGCCACGAAGTCGGCTCCAGCGCGTAAGGTGCAAGCCGTCGTGACCACGAACCAGCCAGAAAGCGATAGCGACTCTGGCCTTAGCGGATCGGAGTCCGACGGTGATCTACGCCGGACCTACCTGGCTGCAACGGAAGGATAGTCGCAAACCCAAGCGGCTGCGCCAAACGAACCCGATCGGACCACGTCTGGCCAAACCCCGCCACCGCGAGACTCTGGCCCGGTTCAGAGATCCCCACACGGACGCCGTCAGTTCCAGCGTTGCACTCACTGCGGCTCACACTGCCATGACGATCTGCACTGCTGGAAGAGACTAACCTGTCAACGGTGCGGTAAGAGAGGCCATCCGTCGGATCGCTGCCTCTTCGTCTGTCGCGGCTGCGGTGAGATCCACGACGCCGGCAAATGTCAGGTGGAGGCGTTTTTTACAACTTGATCCGTCAATGATACGATTCTGCCAAGCATGGAGGTGTCTTGCCCTAAAGCGCCGAAAAGATGTTAAACTAGGACGAGCCGAGCGTTCCAAGCTCTGCATCTATACATACGTCGAGAAGAAATCGGACGTTAGTCAACGGAAGAACCTGATCGACAATGCACGTGATCTTCATGGGAAACGTACCAGTGTTGTTGCAAGTGTCCGGAAACCGGATGTGTTGGCGAGTGCGAGGGTACTGAAAATAACACGCACCCAGCAAGTGGTTCAAGCAGGCCAAGACGGAACGGAAAATCAACAACGTAAAAGCGAACTTGCTCTTGGATTCCGGCGCCGAGGTGGCCATTCTGGATGTCGCCTTTGCTCGTAAGGTAGAGTACCACGTAGACGAAAGTCAACAACAAGAGTGTGTTGGTATTGGAGAAGGCGTATATGTGACGAAAGGACGTACCAAGATCAAGGTTACCCTGGCCGGATCGCTAGTGTACTTTTTTGACGTCTGGGTCGG